ACAGGATGCAGGGAAGAAAACCAGCAAGTTGATCTGTTGGGTACTATGTGAGGCTTTGAAACTACATGAAGCCAGAACTCGTATTATTTAAATTTTCAGCAGCTTAATGGCTGCTGTTCAGGGGCTCCCTGGCAGCTGTTGGGCCAGCAATGTGCTGCTGCTGTGTCCTAGTCCACACGGTCTGAATCAAAGGCAATCTGAGTGACAGTAGTGACTTAAGTCAAGCCAGCAGCTTAGGGGACAGGCAAATCCTGGAAGAAGCAACCATCTCTGGTATTATCCAATCTACTTTTTTTACTTGAATCTGTGTAGAATGCACTTTTTCCTCTCTTGCCTTCTATTGTACACCACCTGGGCTCATGCTGTTTGCATTAAACCCTCACAGTAATGGAAGTAATTACTCAGCTCTCACATAGAACCAAGGATACTCTTGCTGTCACTACCAAAAAAAAATAGGCTGAGAATAAAATGAACAGACCCATTGCCTCCCCAGTCCTTTCAGAGCCTTTCTGTAGGCTTGGGTTTTTTAAGGTCTTTCCCCTAAGCTTTTGGCTCATTTTCTCAAGTAGAGAGACAAATCTACACCCTCGTTTCCTCCAAGCCCCTCAGATTTTCTTTGCCTTCCTTCCCATGGCTTGTCTCTCTCTCTTTTTTGCTGTTTCCCAGACAAATTCAGGGACAAATCTACACATTTTAAATAGAAAGCATTATCTTTTATGTAAAGTCCAACAGTACACTTTTAATAGAACTAGCCAGGTATTTGAAACCTCCAAAATTAACTAGGTTGTCTCTACCCTTTGGCTATAGCTTTACCTGTGCAAAGGTCAGAGGGTGCCACACTGGCTATTTAAAATCCAATCATCAGAACAAGGAGGACACAGTCTCCCCAAGTGACCTCCCTATCTAACTCCTACCCACAGTCTGAGCCACAGTAAAACTTCCCAGTCCAAATACAAGAATTTCAGTCATGACCATAAGCAAGTTGTTCTACTAACTGGCAACCTACACCATTAAAACTGTGCTGGTTATTTCCCATTTAGGTCTTGTCTGGGTTCAGCTTTCAAACGCTGTCTCTTACTAAACCTCTGACTGCCACATTAACTACTGCTCAGCTTAGCCTGTATGTTGTCTACAGAATCCTATGATCAATAACAAAATTAAACATAAATAAACATTCTATGATTCTATGAAAGAGCTTTATCTAAAGCACAACTTGAAATGGCAACTGCAAACATGATATGGATGAAATTCAAGCTACAAAAGCCATGTCCTAGATCTTGTGTTTTATTTAAGTAAAAAAAC